CAGCTGGACGTGGGGCATCCTTGTGCCCTTCTTGGGGTGACACCAAGACCCCCCCACCAGCGCTTCCAGGGTGGCCAGGGACAGTGGAGAAGGGCTGCAGGACCCAGCCATCCAAAAATAATCCCTGTATGAGAGGTGGCTTTGCCATCAGACTGACTTTACTTGTCCTACCTGCGTCCTGGGAGGCAGGGGAAGGCCCTAGGGCTTTGTGAGACCATCAGGCAGAGAAGCAGAGGAGGGCCCCAAACTTCTCCTCCCCCTCTCCAAAGCTTGGAGCCCATCCCTGGCAACGAGGCTGCTGCTGGCAGGTGGAGGGATGCTCCAGTGGGATGCTCCTGGTGGTGTCCTCTCCCGTGGCTCCTCCTTGGAGTCCCTTGTTCCTCAGCCGTGGTGGCAGGAGCCAGGCTGCAGCTCCAGGGATCTCACACTGGGTCTTTTCCCACTCTGCAGCCCCAGGGAGCAGGCAGGATAAGAAGTTTCTTTCCCTTGCCAACCTGGCCGCTCGCCGCCGCTTCCGAGCCCCATTCGCCTTCCTCAGGGCAAGACCCGAGCCCCCCGTGTCCCAGCACCAAATCCTGCACCTGCCTGGCTCTGCAGGACCTTCCTGCCCAGGTCTGCATGCTTGGGGATGCTGCCCAGGACAGGAGCTCAGGCATGAAGCCTCCTGGCAGGTCACCAAAAGCTCCTGCTTTTAGCCCTCGCCCCAGCCTGGCCTTACCAGCGAGCCCAGTGGCAGGGCGGGGGCTGGAGGGCAGCTCAGGGGGGCTCTTTGTCTGAGCAGAGCCCTTTTCTCACCGAGCACTGCATGGATTTGCCACACACAGAGCCCTGGCTGAGCAGAGGTGGAGTGGGGAGCAGCACAGCTCCAGCACTGGGGTCAGCAGCACCCCCTCTTCCAGGTCTCAGCCCCCTCACTCTGGAGGGACGGAGATTTCACAACCTCCTGCCTTGCTGGAGGTGAAAGAACACAGGACTCACGGGTGGAGGTGTGAAAGCAGAGCCCAGATTTGCTGCTGAGGATTTCTCCTGGCAGAAGGATCCGTGGTGGGGACTGTTGTTGGCATGGCAGAGCTCTTCCACCACGGGCTGGCTCCTGGGAGCAGCTGCTGAGCATCCAGACCAGCTCCTTGGGGTGAAACCTGGAACCAAGGTTGTGGCAGAGCAAGGAAGGGGGGAGGGAAACAAAAATCAAGAGGATTTTTTTTTAAAAGTTTATTCTTCCTTCATAAAGAGGCATGTAAAAAGTGGAAGTTACAAACTGGCTGGGCCAGAGCTCTGTAAAAAAAACACACAGTCATCCACAGTAAAAAAACCACTATTTTTATATTAGGTTTTAAGTTAACGTGTACATGTTTACAGTTACTAAATAAATAAATGAAAACTCTTTGCTTGTATTTTATAAAAAAAAGCAGATTTTCAAGTGTTGGTGAGGAGGGGGGAGAGAGGGCAGCACGGAGCAGCCCTGGCTACAAAGAGGCTCTTCCCTTCCACTCTCCCACCACGTTGGGTAAGGTCAATCATCAAATGTCTTTTTGTTGGAAGGGATCTTAAAGACCATCCAGTCTGGTGGGTCCTGGTGGGCTGGGCTGCACCAGGGTGAATCCAGCTCAAGTAATGCTGTAGGTGTATTTTTTTTTTTCCCCAGCCAAAGTTGTCCCTGAGCTATGTGGGAGAGTCAGAGCAAAGTGTCTGAGGAGGAACCCAGCCAGCTGGAGGATGGATGGATGGGAGGTACTCACAGTCATGCTCAGACCTCAGGGCATTCACCCCTCCATGCTGGCTGGGGATGGACAGGGACAGCAAAGCCAGCCCAGAACCAAGGGAACAGCAACTAACCAATCTGATGGAGAAGGAAGGTTCTGGCACACCAATAGTTTGCTGGCCACACTCCCCAACCTGCTCCGAGGAGGAGCTTGCTCTCTCCCCATGCTGACCCTTCAGGGCATCTCAGTGATCACAGAGCAAGTCAATCATCCCCACCCTCCCCTCCAAGTCCAGTTTCAAACTGATTCTCCAAAGCAAGCAGAACCACTAGGGCCTAAAACACAATTCAGCCAACAGCTTTGAGAAGAAAACCCCAAGAACCCAGTTAATACTGGCTCACTGAGCAGACAGTATTAAGCTTGTTGGCCAGCTTAGAGATGTTCTACAAGCAGAAGCCATTGCAGGCTGCCAGGAATCTCCCCAAAAAAAAAGGGTGATCCAGTTAAAACCCAGCCCCTTCTCTACACCAATCCCAAAGGTGTCCATATAGTACCAGTGCTTCCAAGTGAGACAGCCCCAGGGGCAGCTTGGAACAGTTTGAGGGTCTTTGCATCAACCCAAGGAAATGAAGGCACCCAGTGACACGAAGGCAGCAGCCTGGATTTCAGAAGGAAGCACTGACATGGAGCCTGTAGCTCCAGCAGAGAGGACCACGAGGTTTGTCCTGGAGATGCTCAGCTCCCTCAGGCTCAGCCGAACTGTCCAACGGCTTCAAACAGAGAAGATCCACCAAAGAGCTATGAACAAGTTAAAACTCAAGTGTTCTTCGAGGTATTCATGGCTTCACCTTGAAGCACAGAGACGTAGAGCTTCACCTGCTCCTCATCTCTCTTCATATTGGAAAAGCTCCTGCTTGACCAGCCTGGTGGAGACGTCCTGGGCCACCCCTGCGAGGTTCATCTCCTGCAGGGTGTCCAGCAGGGTGTTGACAGAGGCGTTCATGCCCTTCTTGTTATGCCACATTTTGAGCATTTGGAAGAAGGACTCTCTTGAGCCCTTGTCGTTCTTCATGGCAATGTCAATGTCGTTCTCCAGCAGATCCAGAGCTCGGCCATACCTCCTCCACTCTGCGGAGGGCACGACCTCGGCGAAGATGTCAAAGGAGCGTTGCAGAACTAGAGGAGGGGGAAGGAGAAAGTTCAGAGAACAGAGCAGAGGGCAGAGAGCTGGGGCAGAAAGGACCTGTCCCCACCCCAGCATGTCTCCTAGGCCCTGACACTTACGGTTAACGGGGTCTTTTCCTGGCACTGGAACCAGATTATTCCTGGGCTTCGCCTGGAAAGACAATGTCCTAGAGCACCCATTGGGCCCTGGCACAAACACTGCCCTCAAGCCCCATCAAGGAGGGTCTGGAGACACTCTCCCTCTCTCCAGGGGTTATTAGGGCAGGAGATCACCACCCCCCACCCCCAGAACATCCATTGTTTCTGAGCTTTGGGTTGCCAGCAGGCCCCGAGCAGGGAAGAGCTGCCTCGTGGGTCCAAGTCAAGGAGAGAAGATCTGTCTGCTCAGCATTAAATCTGCAGAGGACTCGTGCAGCCGAGTGCAACGAGCAGATTCTGCAGCTCTGAATGCAGAACAAGGACAAGAGACCTCGTGGTGCCTGTGCACAACCCCTGGTCCAGCCCTGGAAGCCCCCCCAGGAGCTGATCAGCTGGGTGAAGGCCGAGGAGAGCATCAGAGCTCGGCCGAGCACGCTGGAGCAGAGGGGCACCACCATGTACCTCTGGCCCTGGAGAGCTGGAAGTCTCCACACCCGACGCCCTAAGGGGCAGCTGATCCTGGGATAACTGCTCGTTGAGGATGTTGTCCTGTGTCCCTGGGCCCCCCCTGCAGCACCTCGTCAGCTGCCGCACCAGGGAGTCCTGCGGCAGGAGAGACACAAACCAGCCAGGTCAGGCTGTCCTGGGAGGAGGGGGCTCGTGCAGGTCCCTCAGGGGTGTCACCTCTGGTGGTTGCACCCACCCTGCTCCTCACCTTGAGCTTGAAGGGACCCTGGCACAGCACAGTCCTTCCTTTAAGCCCTGGTCCCAAATGGGGACCTGGGACGTGCCGGCAGCTCTGCCGTGGAAGGGTTCACGGCGCTGGGGAGGGAGCTCCCAGCATCCCACCTCCAGCAGGGCACTACCAGAGACCCTCGTCTGCTTGGCCCAGCTCTACCCCATCCCTGCAGGGATGAGACTCATCCCCCTGCTCCTCCAGCCTTCCCAGGAGCTGCGGGCAAAGTGGGGAGCAGAGGGGGGACATCACCCCAGCCCCACAGACGGAGCCACCCCCACTCCCCATACCAGGAACTCACCACTGCAGTCCTGGGCTTGCTGCCCACTCCTGTCCTGTCCCCTGGAAGAGGAGAACTGTGCTGTGATCCCTCTTCCCCCAGGCAGGTCCCTCATCCCACCCAGGCAGAGCCCCAGGGAGTCACAAACACAGAATTGTTTTGGTTGGAAGAGACCTTGGAGAGTCCAACCACCCCCCAGCACTGCCAGGTCCCCACTGCCCCGTGTCCCTCACCCCACATCTCCACAGCTTGGGAACCCCTCCAGGGGTGGGGACTCCACCACTGCCCTGGGCAGCCTGGCACAGCCCTGGGCAACCCTCCAGGGCAAGAAATTGTTCCTCAGGTCCAACCTCAACCTCCCCTGGGGCAACTTGAGGCTGTTGCTTCTCATCCCGTCACTTGTTGTTGGGAGCAGAGCCCGCCCCCCCCCTGGCTCCAGGCTCCTGTCAGGAGCTGTGCAGAGCCAGAAGGTCTCCCCTGAGCCTCCTTTGCTCCAGGCTCAGCACCCCCAGCTCCCTCAGAAGACACCAAATGCTCACCTGCAGACTGCTGGCAGCAGTACTTCCAGAGGACACAGGAGACCAGGATGAGGATGATAGGAGACACCACCACTCCCACGATCAGCATCGTGTCACCTACAGCAGATAAAACGGGGCGTGTGGGGAGCTGGTCCTGACCCCACACCTCCACCCCTTGTCCCATCCTCCCTGCTCCAGCAGCACCCCCTTACCTGAGGAGCTGGAGGGGGTGCCAGCGGGCAGCCCGCACCGGCGGTCTCTGTACGGCGTGCAGGGAGCCAGCTCCACCTCACCCTTGGCACACCTGAGAGAGGAGGAGAGGGGACAGGCTCAGCAGCTGGGGGTCCCCAGCACACATCCCACCCTAGAGGGACCCACCGTGCTCACCGGGGGCGGCACTTCTGGCACATCTCACAGGGGTGGTCCGGGGAGCAGAAGGTGCCGTTCCTGCAGGCGCACTGCGTGTTCCTGGCCTTCTGGCAGGGACTCAGCTCCACCTGATCTGCAGGAGAGAGGAGAGATGACTCCACCCAGCCCCTCTGCTCCGTGCTCCTCCACCCACCTCCTTCCTGATTGTGGCTAGCAACCCCAGGCTGACCTGCAAGCCTAGAGAAGACCAAGTCACTCTGCTGATGAGTTTGAGCCTGACTCTTTCCTGCCCCCTCATCTCACCATGCCCATCAGGAAGGGGTTGCCCAGAGAGGTGGTCGCTGCCCCATCCCTGGAACCATCCCAGGGGAGGTTGGACCAAGCTCTGAGCACCCTGCTCTAGCTGCAAACGTCCCTGGGGTTGGACCAGATGGCCTTGAAAGGTCCCTTCTAACCCAAAACATTCTGTGATTGTATCATCAAAGCTCCACCAGCAGCCTACAACACTGTCATGAGCTCAATCCTCCTGGTCCTTGCTGGAGGGCTTGTGTCCAAGCTGTGCACAAGGGATGATACATTGAACAGAGACATAGGTCTGGCAGAAGCTGCTACACCAGCTCCAGAACCAGCCTGGTCCACACTGCAGGTGACTGCTCTTCAACAGAAAGGTCTCCAGACAGCTGCACCCAGCCAACATCTCCCTCTTCCACACCACCTCCTACCTTCCCTGCAGATCTGGCAGCCCAGGCACTTGGCAAAGTCGTTTGGGTATTCAATGTATTCGTTTTTGTTGCATGGGGAACACTTGCTGGAGCCATGCTGCTCTTTGCAGTGCTCTTCCACGTGGGTGCCTGCAAGAAGAGTGGAGGAGAAAGTCAATGTCCAGCACAGGGCAAGAGATATCATTGCAGAGAGGGAGTTTATTCCACTGCCAGGGGAAGTTCAGAGGCAAATTTGGAACTAATAAAAGGAAAACGTTCCAGCAATGAGCCCTCAGATCTGGCAGTGGAGCAGGAGGGAGCTGGAGCACCTGCAAGGTGCTCACAGGACCAGGTTGCACGTGGTGTGATGGATGTTTGAGACCATCTTACCCGGGGGGCACTTCTTGCAGTACCGATTCGTGTCTTGGACGTGGTAAAATTCTCCCCCTCCCCTGCCTGGGTCCAAGGGATCCAGCCTGTCCCTCCTACCCAGTGCTGTCGCCGAAGTTCTCAAAGCAGCCTATAAAACAACACACCAAAACCTGGCTTCAGAACCACCCCCAAGTCCACAGGGCAAGGGAAGAATGAGGTGGGTGAGAGCTGCTCTCCCCAGCGTGCTCAGGCCAAGAGGAGAGGAGCTCTGGGAGGGCTCAGAGCCCCCAGACCCAGCAGCCAACCCTCCCCTTGCTGCAGGTGAAGGGCATTTCCCCCATGCCAGGGTGGTTATTTCCCTGGTGAAGCAGGAGGAGGAGGTTTCCAGAGGGATCCCCACGTGCCAGGCTACCAGCAAGTCAAAGAGTTCCTTAGGATAACCCCAGGCCCCTTTTCCTTCCCCAATTTCTGAGCACGTGAAGCAGCAGCACCGAATTAAACGGGAGGGGAGGGCAGAGGAAGGGGGAGGGTGTCTGTGGGGAGGAAACCAGCCCCATCTCAAGGCTGGTAGGTGGCTCCCATGCCCAGAAGATGCCCCTGGGCTCCCGGGGGACAGCACAACCTCCTGTGTTTCCCTTCCTGCCAACTGGTGAGCCAACGGCCCCGTTTCCTCCAGCTCACCGAGCACCTTTCTGCTGGCTCAGCAGTTTCTGTGCCATGGGGGGTGGGGGAGTGGACGTGGGGGAGTGATGCTCGCCAGGGACGGCCCGTCACCCCCAGCAGGGTTTTGGGGAGAGGTCTTTAGGGACCCCAGCCACGTCCCCAAAGTGGGGGTGAATGTCCTCAGCCTCTCAAGCAGCAGCTGGATCTATCCCCTGGTCTACCCCAGCTCCTCCAGGGCTAGCTGTGGATATAAACCTGCCCCAAACTCCAGGTTCTGTCCCTCTCCCCTGGGCGTGGCCAGCCCTGCACGGCAGCCTCTGGCAGAGCCACTTTCCCTGGGACACTTTTCTCCTGTTTCCTTCCTATACACAAAACCTGACGCAAATATTTCTCCTGTGAGTCAGAATCTGCCTTGAAAGGCTGAAACAATAGGGCAGGCAGCTGCCTGGCGAGCCCCTGGGCCAGCCTGGCCATCTACAGAGCTGACCCACCCCCTTCCCCTTGCTCCTCGAAGGAAGGGTGTGAGCAGGTCCCAGTCACGGGGCTGCTGAGGGTGACATAGACCCAAAACCAAAGCTCAGACCATCCAGGCCTTGGAGAGGACAATCCCCGGGTGCCACCACGGCACAGACCCCCCCTCCCTGAGCCCCGGGACCACCTCCAGACCCTGATTTGGAAGGATCAAATCTCTGTCCCTCCACCCCCTTCTGGCTCAGCATCTCCTGCTGCTCCTTGCTGCAGCTGGGAGGGTTGGCAAAGCATCCAGGCCTTGGAGAGGACAATCCCTGGGTGCCACCACAGCACAGACCCCCCTCCCTGAGCCCCGGGACCATCTCCAGACCCTGATTTGGAAGGATCAAATCTCTGTCCCTCCACCCTCTTCTGGCTCAGCATCTCCTGCTGCTCCTTGCTGCAGCTGGGAGGGCTGGCAAAGTGTTTTATAAACTTTTCTAGGAGAAGCTCAGACCATCCAGGCCTTGGAGAGGACAATCCCCGGGTGCCACCACGGCACAGACCCCCCCTCCCTGAGCCCCGGGACCACCTCCAGACCCTGATTTGGAAGGATCAAATCTCTGTCCCTCCACCCTCTTCTGGCTCAGCATCTCCTGCTGCTCCTTGCTGCAGCTGGGAGGGTTGGCAAAGTGTTTTATAAACTTTTCTAGGAGGTGAGTCTGGCTTTTACCTCCTAGTCTCCAGCAGCTATCTGGTCTTGAAAGTTCTCAGGGACAACCTTAGTCCCACTGGCCCCACGAGGGAATAAAAACAGCCCTTCAAACCCTGCCAGGCAGTGGAGGTGATCAGGACAACGCCAGGGCATTATCTGCAGTCTGGAGAGGCCCCCTCCGAGCAGGATTTCATTGCTTTTCATGAAACAGTGACTCCACAGAGCTTGCACAAGGGCACGATAAGGTTATCAGCCCACAGCACCTTCCCAGCCAGTGCAGTTGGAGTGCATCGTCCCACCACAGAGCCCCTGGGAGGAGAGGGCTGCCAGCCCTGCCTGCCCTATCAGCCCTGAGGAACCTAGCAGGGCTGTGAAGCCCAAGGAGAAAGCAGCCTGGGAGCCGTGGGCGACAGGCAGTGGTAGTTAAAAGTAGTTTTCACCCACAGTATAAACAACGTTGCCTCAAGGCAGAGGAATTACCAAGCAAAGGAATCCCCAACACCCTCATCAGCTAAAAGCCTCTTCCTTCTGGGTGATTAGGTCTGGAGAAAACGCTCTGAGAAGGAGCAAGCCTTGAACTTTCCCTTTTTCCATCCCAAATTTGTTTTAATCCTGAAGTGAAGGAGCTTGGAGCAGAGGACAGACCCTTGCTGAACTCCTGACCAGCAAGAGAGGCTCTTGGCCAACGGTGTTAAGGACTAGAGATAAAAGCTGGGGCTTGTCTCAGGCACCTGCTCCCGGGGCACAGCTCAAATCGTGGGGGGATTTCTCCCCTCACCCCCCCCAGAATCCCTGCAGATGGAACGTGAGCTCCTGCAAACGCAGGGATCCAGGGGCATTCCCCTTCCAGAGCCTGTGGCCCAGGTCCAGGCGTGATGCAACGGTGAGCAAAGGAAGGAGCTGGGCCACAGCATCGGATGATTATCACGTGAGGAACCATCAGTCCGGATCAACTCCCCCACCCCTTTTCTTTTACTGACAAGGGGGGGGGTAAAATTCAAAGGAAGAGGCTCTAGGGGATGGGTTTAGTAAGGTTTGAATTTCCCAGGCAAGTCTAAATAAACTCGGATGAACTATAGATGGAGGGAAGTGGCTGAGAAGCTGACTCTGAAAACCTGTTGCTGGCGGTGCTGATCTCCAGGAGGAATTCCTGCACGGGAGCACCCACCACAGGTCTCCCCGTGGCCACAGGGATTCAAAGCCAGCCCCGGGATACACTCAGGATCCTCGGGATAAAACCCAGGGCAGGATCCCTCTCACTTCAGGTGAGACAAGACTTTAGGTATTTCCGAATCCGCGGGGAAATATGAGACTCCGGGTGGGATTTTTCCACCTTAAAAGCCAGCGGTGGGCAGGCTTTGGCTACCGTTTGGACAAGCTGGAGAG